TATTCGGTACATATTTATAACTTACAAAATTTATTTATATAATTGATTACAAAATTTAGGATATTACGATTGTCGTCATTATGTTTTCTAATTTTGTTTTATACGTATGAATTTTGTGCATATGTTTCCTTAACATGAATGCAAGACACAATGGATTGGAAAAGTTAATAATAATATTTCAATAAATTATAAAAATAAAATGTTAGATACTCTTTTTAAGTTATTATATGAAATTGGTGAAAAGTTAAAGATATTTTTGTTAATATTGTTTGTGTTATGTAGTAGATGGGATAAAAAAGGGGGCGATCTTAGAATACTAGATAAAGTAATATCTTTTACACCCTTAGATGTTTGTTTGACTTTAGAATTTTCTATAACCACGGAGAAAGTTCATTTTGATGAAAATGTTGACTGTTTGATGGCAAGCATATTTTGCAGAAAGCATGTATCTTTAGAAGATATTTTTGCTAAACTTAAGCAACTGCACACTAAGAATGACCTTGATGATATTTGATTCATAGTATGTCTCATAGTTTCGATTAGATAATATGTTATTTTCTTAAAGCATCTCCTTCAACAACTCTAACAATTTTATGAAACTTATATTAATCCATCTATTTCTTACTTTTAAATTGAAAAATCTTAAAGTTATTAATAATCTTGTAAAGTTACGTCTTGAGTACAATTTTTGCTTGAAATCAAACTTCAAAGATCATACACATGTGCTCTTCCAATATTTTCTTCACTAATATCATTTCATCTAAATTATCGTATATCCTTTCTTTAAAGTTTTTTGTTGTTGATATATCTAATATTTCTCCATGTCATGTTCATATTGTATAACTCTTAACAATACCATATACAAATAGGTGATCATATATATTCTCAAGTTCCTTATGTATTTTATTCAAATAACGAATGCATAACCAATAATATACCTCTTTAATAGATTTTTTTTATTTTTACGAGCAAATTGCAAAAACTCTTCAACTTTTTTTTTTATACTTTTCACATTCACCCAACTCAAATCCATAACTATCTAAGTTATAAATTTAATCATAAACAACTATACAAATTTAATCATCACCAATTCCAGTCCCTAACTATCCTAGGTTACAAATTTAATTATCATCAACTATAAATTTAAATAAGAAAATGAATAAATAATTCCTAGAGAGTAAAACACATCTTAATATTTATATAAAAATAAATTTTAAACTTAAAAACTAATTTTCAAATTAAAAACCAAAAATAGTGATTGAATTAAAAAAATAACAAAAACAACCACTACTTCAATTTCAATCACAACAATCGAATGGAGACATTCATGCATTACCATGATTAAGATCCCCAAAAACAACAATGGGTTCGATTTCAACAAAAAAGTATAAACTTAAAGCACTAACCTCACTTACACAAAAAATACCCAAATATTTCAATCCAATCAAAAAGAAACGTTTATCACCACTAATGGATCATTTAAATACTTTTTTATTATCTTTATTTTCCTTTTCATATAGTGACTTAAGCAATATAGTGTTTTTGCAGCTGGACCTCCCTTTTTTCCAGCATTTGGTAAAGTTCATTCTTGTAGATCCCAAAGCAATAGACATCCAAATTGACTTGTTTGAGCTCATTCATTGTTGTAATTTTCATGTAAGAACATTTGGCATCCATTGTGGAGTCCAGTGAAACTAATCCTACGCCTTTTAATTTTTCAAATGCGTAATCAAGTTAACTCATCAAGCATTGACATAGATGTCAATACCATCATTAAAGATTGGATGTCCCTTTACCCTTGATATATTAGAGGAACCCTAGCCCTCAAGATGAAAATCTCCTAATATGGATAAATTTGGAGGAGGTGTTGACTTAGACGAGCATATATGAGCTTATTTAACACAAATGAACATATTTGAAGAAAGCAATGTTTTTCCTTGTAGGATTTTTCCTATGACATTGAAAGGACCAACATTAAAATGGTTCTATGATTTACCTCATGAATCAATAAATTTATTTAAAAAAATAATTGAGAAATTTTAAGTTAATTTTGCAATCAATCAACCACATTAACCTACTTTTCCACTCTCTAGGGGTAAAGACAAGAAAGAAATGAGTCCTTAAGAAAAATCATAAAGCAATTTACTAAGGTAATTGTAACCATTCACAATTTATCCCATAGTGTAATTATCCACGCTATGATTGTAGGGTTGAAACAATGGTTATTTTTGGATAGTCTATACATGGACTAACTACTCAAATACATTAGAAAAGCTCAAAATCGAGCTTCCAAGTTAATACAACTAGAAGAGAATATAGAAATAAAAAAAAGAAGATATACAAACAGGGAAACTAAACCCACAAATATGGTTAAAACTAAAGGTGGAGTTAGAACTTCCAACTCAAGGAGCCAAAAAGTAAAATAACATATTATTTTTAAATAATAAAATTAAAATCATAAATTATAATTTAATATTAATAATTTCTAAATTTGTAGGGGTCATGGCTCTTAAAGGCCCTCTTGGCTTCCCCACTAGTTTAGACAAAAGATTCAGACATGATAATAGGTGTAAAGAGAGAAGATTCACGCCTTTGAATGTTAATGTTGAGACAATTTTTCGAGAAACATATAACCTAAAATTGACCAAATTATTAGGGATCTATTGCTACACCTACGTATATCAGACTAAGCGATGGGCGTGACACCAAATTATGGATGTACAACTGAAAATTGTAGAAGAGTACAAGAAATCATAGAATATCTTATCCGAGCTAGATCATTAAATTGTTTTATACAAGATTATAAGCCATAAAAGATCTTATTCAAGTTGGGATAATGATGTATTTCACATTAATCCCAAAAAGTTAACATAGATGTCCATTATACATTACTTGATGAATGGAGTACCTTTGAAAAACACTCTAAAGGCATACTATAGTTAAGGTAAACATTTTAAAATAAATTTTATGTCTTATGTAATTTTTCACCCAGTAAAAAGTTAGTGTGAAACGATGAAGCTTATCAAGCTTGTCATAATAATTTTTTTTGCCTTGCAAAGAGCTAATGTGAAAGGCGAAGCTTGTCAAACTCGTCATAACAAATTTTTTGCTTAACAAAGAGCTAATGTGAAGGGATAAACCTGTCATAACAAACTTTTCACCTATCATAGAGCTAGTGTGAAAGGATAAAGTTTGTCAAACTCGTAAAAACAAATTTTTTGCTTAGAAAAAGCTAGTGCAAGGGCAAAGCTAGTTAAACTCACCATAGCAATTATTTGAACACTTCATTACATCATAATAGTTATCTAAATACATCATTAAGTCATAACAATAATATGTCATAACACTTAATATTACAATTAAGCATACATTAGTCGTAGTTTTTAAACAATATTTTTAAAATCATACTAATCATTAAACAATATTTTTAAAATCATACTAATCAATGAACCAAGTAAAGACATGGGTTTAGAGTTTAAAGATTCAACCGAATTTAATAAAATAATATTTTTTTTAATATAACATATATATAATGAGTTTATTAGTAACAACATTTTTTACAAAAGAAATAAAAATAATGAAGGTTATTATCATTATCACCATAAGTTATAATAAAAATTACAAATATAAAATATATTTAAAAGTGTAAGATGGATCATTTAAGATAAAAACACAACAAATAACTATTATTTAAAATTGATATTATTAATATGAGATAAAAAAAATTAAAATATATTATTTTTTATAAAAATATATATACAAAATTATTCTTAATTTTATTTTATTTTTATCAAAATCGTTTGACCAAAAATCCTAATTTACCAATTTTATACCAATTGTTCTAATTTTGTCCCGACTTAATTAAAATCCACTTATTTTAAAATAATAAATTGATTTCTAGACCAATTCTTAGGTAAATTAGTTAAATGGGTAGATTTAATCCAATTTTCAAAACAATTATTTAAAATTAAATCCATATTAATTTTAATGTTGTTTCATAAATTATTATTTTAAATAAAGTATAACCTGACAAAAAAAACTTAGCTCATTTAATTGATTTCACACCTACAATAAAAAAATAATTTGATAATTGATTTTTATAAATAAATATATATATATATATATAACATTAATTTATAATTTAAATAAATTTTATAAATTTTCATAACTTCTATTTATTTATGAAATTTAATTAGTTCATTTGTTTAAAATTAAACTTTGAACTAGAAGTAATTATGTACATATTCATATTTTTCATTAATTATAATAATAAACAAAAATATTTTCTTATTTAATTCACTCAAATGTATATTAAAATAATAATAACACAAAATAAATATACTTAATTATATTATAAAAAAATCTCATAATTTTTTTTTCTATAAATAACATCACCTTGATATTTATAAATAAACTATTTTATTTTGTACATATTATGTCTTTTAAAAATTGTTATATTATCTCTGTTTTTCTTTTCTAATAATCACTTATATATTAAAGTGTTGTGCAAGTCAACTTTCCCCTCCTTCCATCATTCAACAAAATCATTAAATGTCAAGGCAACGATGTATTCGAGCTCGTATGTTTGGACTTCTTTGTTATCCTAATTTACCCCGTTAACATTTTCATCCAAATGGGTTACATAAAATTCAAACAATGTCCAAAAACACTTTTATAAATGGAATCTATTTTCAAAATTTCATACAATATAAAAATTAAAACAGAGTACATCAATTAAAACCTGCAGTGCCAGGAATAGGTGCATATTTGAATTGATGTATCAACATAATTTTTAATTAAAAAAATAGTGTAAACTTAGTTTGATAAACAATGAATTTAATGTAATATATTTTATGTTTAAATATTCTAAAAAATAAGCTGATAAAACAAAATCTATTGAGATGATATTAATCAAAAGTGCTTTCGAATAAATACTGTCAACCAAAAGTTTTGAAAATAAAATATTAAGCTAAGTTTATTAATAACGGTTGACATAAATCATGTTAAAAAATCTAAGCAGAATTTACATTTTGATTTCTCCTTGTAGATCTCAGAAGGGTAAGGACACAGAACAGTATTTAAGCTTCAAAGTCACTTTTTCCGAAGTGGAATATAAATTAGTTAACTTCTATTCCTTACTTACTAATCACTCCATCACCCGCTCTCTCCAGTTCCGCATGAATTTCTTCAAATCCGTTTTCCTTGACGACCCGGATCCTCCTCGACCCGGATCCGGATCCAACAATGAGCCGCGACACCATGACCCGGATCCTGAATCCGCCCCCCGATCGAGCACCACCAATCCCGGCGGCGGCGACGGTTGGAATTTCGGCGGTCTCATGAAAACCCTATCATCCAAATCGGAATCCATAATCGAGACCTATCGACGCGATCTGCAGGAATTCAGCACCGGTTTGAAGAAGGAGATTGAGGTGGCGCAGGGCTCTTTCGGGACCGTGGGTCACGCCATTGACGAGTTCGGAAACAACGTCGTGAAAGGAACGGCTCAGATCATATCTCAAGGTAAGGACGCCATCCTCGCAGTCGATCTCGATTCTGATTCTGATAATAATAGCGCCAATAGGAAGAGCTTGGATTCGATGCGGTATAGTAGGTTCGACGCTCAGATTTGTGCGATTCAGGGCGACGTTAGTACTTACACGGAGGAGCCCGAGGGTTTGAGTGAGTTCAATGAATGGAAATTAGGGTTTTCGTTGGAGGCGAAGAGTGAGGAAATGGAGGGGCTTTTTAGAGAGAATGATGCTATGGAGAGTGTTTACAAAGGTGTTGTTCCCAGCAGTGTGGATCACGAAACTTTCTGGTATAGGTATTATTATAAGGTTTATAAGCTCAAGAGAGCTGAAGATGTTAGGGCTAGGCTTGTGAGTGGGATTTCTGGGGAAGATGAGGATTTGAGTTGGGAAGTTGAAGATGACGATGAGGAGGAGGATAGAGGTGATGCTAAACCTGTGGTTATGAATAAAGAGGCTGGTGGGGACAATGTGGACACCCAGCTACGTGTTGTTGGCTATGAAGGGAGAACGAAGAAATTGGATGTGGAAGAAGAGTCTAAAGGAGAAAAGAAAGACAATTTATTGCAAAGTGAGGAAGTTAGCAACAAGATGGATAAGTCTTTTGGGGAACCACATATTGAGAAATCTGAAATTGTTGGTGATATGGGTGGTGTTGATGAGGCATCAAAAGCGGATGTTGGTTTGAGCAAGAATGATTCTGCAGCTGAAGCTGATGAGAAGGTGGAGAAGAAAAGGGAGGGTGGTGATGAGAAATCTTCCGGTAAAAGTAACGAGTCCTCAGTGGTTGAAATTAAGCACTCAGCAAATGAGGAAGGGGACGACGAGGACCTTGGGTGGGATGATATTGAGGATCTTAGTAGTATTGATTTGAAGAAAACAACGCATAGTGGTGGCACAGGCAAAGTTGATTTGCGGAAGCCATTTAGTGCTGCGGAAGAAGAGGAAGACTTAAGTTGGGACACTGAAGAAGATGATGAGCCTGCTAAGGCTTGAAATGTTTGATGCAAGGGAAGGGAAGTATATGGTGTAAGTGTCATTTCCACAAAGAAATTTGTCAGTGTTATTATTATACTTTTAGAAACTGGGACGGAGGTTGTATTGTTATCCGTTCTGTCCCTGAAATGCATGAAATGTATAACTGTTTCTGTGTTTGTTTCTTATTATGTTCCTTATTTTGGTTATTCATCAATATATGGTGACTATTGTCAGCAAGACACATAATCTATCCCATGTTTAAGTCTTCGTCTGCCTTTTATTTGATAACATATGAATCAGTAATAGATATATGCATGACCCGTAACATCCTCCTTTATGAATCTTGAGTTATGCTCATTTTATCTGGAAACACGAGTAATCAGATAAAAACAGAGCAACAAATTAGTTTCCAGCAGTTTTTTAAAAATCAAGAAATGACTAAAATCAAATTAGAAAAAGTCAGGCACAAAGTACATCACTGACACTCTAAAACAATTTAATTAAACTCTCAATGCATCAACGAATAAAAGTAGCGAAACAATGACAATAGCCAAAATAACAATAATATGTATTTTGATTTCTAAAAAAAATAAAATGAAACGCAACCGAATGATTGATTATTTATTATTGGGAATTTCTATTGAGGCACAAAGATTCCACTTGAAGCAATGAAAAGATGGAGTCACTTAACAGAATTCAAAATGAGAAAGAATTATAAAATATTCTGCAGAAAGAAAACAGAGAGCAAAGAGAAGGTTTATACCAAAAAAACTCTTTCTATCCAATATTAAAATCTCTTAAAAGCATATTCTCTAAGTGGCCTCGTGCTTTTTCTCGTGTTCTTCTTTTGCTGATTCTAGTCCACGTGTCCCATTAATTTCAATGTATTTTTTGCATACAATACCCTTCTCATTAAGAGTAACATTGCCCTCAAGGTTGAATTGAGGATAAGCTTGTTGAAATTCATCAAGATCTTCCCAAGTAGCTTCCTTAGGTTCCATAGATTGTCACTGTACCAACACTTCTTGTATTTCAGTAGAATTGTGTTTTATAATTCTTTTATCCAACACTGATATTGGACTCAAGAGAGGTCCAAACTCAGTGGTAGTCAAAGGTAGGGGGTAAGTATTGGTTGGACTGTGTTCCCATAAACTTTTTGAGCAATGAAATGTGGAAAATAGGGTGAATCCGAGCTGTATTAGAAAGCTTTAACTTGTAAGCCACTAGACCTATCTTCTCCATTACTTCAAATGGTCCAAAAAATCTCATGCCTAATTTTTTATTCTTTCTAAGAACTACTGAATGTTGTCTATATGGTTGCAGTTTCACTAATGCCAAATCACTAATTTGCAGTTGGAATTTTCTCCTTTTCTTATTTGTCTGAACTATCATATAATTTTGAGCCTTCATCAAGTTGCTCTTGAGTTGTTGCAACACTTTGTCTTTAGTGGTTAAAGACTCTCTAATGGTAGGAAGATATGTGGAATTGACTTCATAAGGAATGATCGAGGGTGGTTCCCTACCAAATACAGCTTTAAAGGGGCTCATTCTTATGTTGTGGTGGTAGGAAGAGTTGTACCAGTATTGAGCCCAAGGAAGCATAGAGTACCACAACTTGGGATTATCAAATACATAACACCTCAAATACATTACCAATGTCTTATTAAGTACCTCAGTTTGTCTGTCACTTTAGGGATGATATGCAGAGCTCATCGCCAAATTTGTGCCTTGAGCTTTAAATAAGTGCTGCCAAAATGAACTGATAAAGACTCTATCTCTATCAGATACAATAGTTCTCAGAAAACCATGGAGCTTTGCCACATTATTAATAAAAGCTTTTGCTACACTTTTACCGGTATTATGCGCTTTCAAAGCATTGAAATGCGCAAACTTAGAGAGCCTATCAATTACCACCAAAATAGTAGAATAACCATGTGAAGTGGGGACATTAGTAATGAAATCCATGGCTATGTCTTCCCAAATCTGTTGAGGTAGTGGCAATGGTTGTAACAAACCATAGGGTAAAGTTTGGTCCACTTTAGCTTGTTGAAAAATATTGTAATGTCGTATATAAGCCTTGATATCATCTTGCATTTTTGGCAATAAAATTGATTGCAGATTCGGGCTATAGTCTTTGTATTTCTAGCATGACCACGTCTGAACGACTGACATGCGTTGCAACATTTGAAACCACAGAATTACATCTTTCTCAAAATGCATTGAAGCTATATCCACTCTTTTGTGGTCATGAGTATGATGATAATTGAAAATTTTCTCCGCCTTAAAAATTCATTCTAACACAGGGTTGTGCCATCAAAATGAGGGAAACCCAAGGAAATATTGCATACCGGTCGCGCAGAGTCATACTGTGTCACGACCAACAGTGAGTCATTTGAGTTCTCATCATCAATGCACTAAGCCTAACTTTGATTCAATAAATCCAATGATTTCTACATTTGGTCCATTCGATCATTGTTTGCTATTTAGAATTGGATAATTAATTCACGATTAGCTTTATTACGATCAAGTTGTTTCTCAATCCAACTCAATATTGAAGTGAGTTGGGCTTGCATATCTTTCATCCTAGTGTTCTCAGTCATTAATGTCAATGAAAACACCAATGAAACAATTTAATTAAACTCTCAATACAACAGCGAATAAATGCAGTGGAATAGTATATGGTATTGATTTGACAATGGCCAAAATAACAATAGTCTGAATTTTAATTTCTAAAAAAAATAAAATGAAACGCAAACAGAATTAATGATTATTGGAAATTTCTGTTGACGCTCGAAGGTTCCACTTGAAGCAATGAAAAGATGGAGTCAGGATTCAAAACAAGAGAGAATTATGGAACATTTTGTGAGAGAAAACAGAGAACAGAGAGAAGGTTCATACAAAAAAAACTCTTTCTATTCAAAATCAAAATCCCTTAAAAGCACACTCTCTCTACGTGTTCTCATGTCCTTCTTTTGCTGATCCTGGTACACGTGTCTCATTAATTCCACTGCATTCTCTACGCCCATTCTGCTTGTTACACACTCCTAAACCCAAAATTTTCAAATTGGACTGCTGTAAGATTTGGTGAGCATTCAATTCAAAATGGCTAAAACCAAGTTTCCATTCAATTCCGCCTTCAGTAGATGCTGGTTACAAAGGCAGTCATACTGTGATTCACGATTTCATGTAATAAATTCTAGCAAATTTAAAAACGGAAATAAACTGAAGTCAACAATTCACATTAGTATGAATTATATGAAAGGAAAAGGTAGTAAGACACGAGCTAAATAGCACTAATAACACGGATATCCTGGAAATGAGTAATGAAACCGTAGTCTGTGTTTGTACAACCTCTGTATAAGGGATAATGTTATAATGAGTGTTGTATGAATTATATAAATCATGGAAAATGTTCGGCTGAAAATGTGTCAAGCGTGTTACAACGATCCACAGATAACAACAGCAAATAGATAATCTTAAACTAAGCATGCTGGAGGCGATTTGATTTTTCTAAAAAAGATAATTAACTTGGAATATCATTCTTACAAAATGCTACCGTCAGATATAATTCACACTCTTCAAATTTGAAAGCTTGACTAATCTACTAAAGCTCTTGCCGTGATTGGCTGACGTGGAAAAACCGTTTTGAACATCACTAGACTCTAATCTATCCAAAGGGAAAAGAGTGAAAAAAAAAAATGAACCAAACTGCTCTTGCAGCTCCTGGGGGTGAGACCGTGTTTGTACAACAAGATAAAATGCTCCACAGTGTAGAGCAAATAGCTGAGTCGTAGAAGCAACCTTTCTTGATTTACATTTCTTCAAACCCAAGGCTGCTTCAGAACTAAAATTGTCCTTAACCTTCAACACAAATGCTTGGTTCGGAAGTGGACTCTCCCACTTGTGGTTCAACAGGGGAAGGCAATGTGAGAAGCCTCCCTTTTTGGGCACGTGGGGGAAGATGCTTGGCAGGTTTTCTAGATGGCACATTCCATGGCAAAAACACACCAGTTCCACCTCCAGCAAGTTTGCGGGGGTTCAGTGCCACAGGACGCACAGGAGTTACCATCACCATTGGGCCGCGAAGCATTCCCCATTTTGGCATAATTTCCATACCTTCATAGCTACTCAGAGCAACATTTGGCAAAGCATATGGACTGGCAATGCCAGGTTGCCACAGAGTCATCGCACTTGCCATGGCAGGAGTTAGTGATTGGCTTTGATTGGAGTCTGGCCTAACTCTGAAGAAGGTGATGCTGACCCTTCTGTTAGGGGATGGACACATTACGTGCCTTGCCATATCAGCACTGTTTCCTCTCATCACTAAAAGAGACCTGCAAAATTGAAGGTGTTTAGCCCAAGTCATTGCACGTTGTTACTCGTCAGTTTGAAAGACAAATATTATTGTGTATGACAAGCTCAATGTCCTTGCACAGGACAACATCCTGCAACTTTTTGTACACTTAATAATAAAGAGAAACGAAAAAAGTAAATGTTCTCGTGATACTCGTGAATAATAATAATAATAATAATAATAATCATAGTAAAACAAAGAAATTGAAATCCTATCAGTAAATTTTGGATGCAACCCCTAATTGGACGTTGGACCCAAAATACTAAAACAATAACAACAGTTTTATCTTATCGGTGAGGTATGGAATCGAATACTAACAACTACAATGGACTCACTGTCAAATGATACAATCATAGCTGATGTCCCTTAAAATATTTCTGCAGCTAATCAGACATTTAGAACTTGATGCTTAAACTTAGAACAAGAGGCTATTTTGCTAATTAAGTTACAATCTGCTGCATAATGCATGTTTCCACTTTAATACACTATATGTAATTACTGCACGAGTGACATAAATAAAGGCAGTAAGCTTTCGAGGGTCAGATGGGACCCTTCTAATGTGACCCTTATGACAACACTGAAAATGTATACTAGGTGTCAGTTCAACGACAATCTAGCAATTCATATTTCTAGGATAAGCAATCCATTTTTGTCCTTCCTTTGATTGTCTGCAAGTTTATTTGTTACTCAAGAATAAAAGAAAAGCAGAGAAGCAATCTAACCCAATTATATGCGTATATGCACACAGTTGCATCCTCTAAAAAACTAGCACTTCACCTTATTCACTTACATTCTGTCCTATAAATGTTGAAGGTACTTCTTCCTTTGTATCCAGCATTGTGACTAGAATCTTAATTAATAAATGGAAGATAGGACTGCAAAGAGTATAAGTTCTTTAATATGTACCCCTGCTTCAATGAGAGCATGAGAGGTCCCTTGTAGTTTCCATCATTTTCACTCATAAGTATACGCCCAAAAGCCATAGTTGATTCAGAGAGAAGAAGAGTGGACACAGGTTGATCCAGATGCGGTGGTTTGAGGAATGGTTGAGAAAACTCCCCCTAAAAATTATGAAATTACATAGATATTTCTAAAACGGTTATTCCATTGCTCACTGTGAATTATTATAGTACTTATTTGACTATTAGCGAGTAGAACTTAAGAGGAATAAGCGGAAATAGCAATGTTTACCTCTTCAAAAAAGTTGATGATACAACCATTTGGTCTTTTGTACTCGGGAAGTAATTGCCACTGAATAAGGTGATCAATGACACCTTGGAGAAGTGCTGGAATTGGCTCTATATTGCCTTCAAACAAAAGTCGAAAATGTAAAACATAATTAAAAGAGAATCACTATATTCATCCATGCAACATGAGAAATTAGAAGAACCAAATTGCTATGGTAAAGTACAACAGTTATATGTTATCTTATCACTATTTATTTAATGATCTTACTTTTTACATCCTCCTTTATCTGTCCAAATATTGGAACACCCAGTTGAATCAGCTCTCTCTTGTTTCCCTTTATCTGCTTGTTGAATAATATAAAAGTTTCACCTACATGCATACATTAAGATTCGGTTAGTATTTTTAAGAATGTAGACACAAAAACAGCTTGCATTAGGCATTATCGATGTTTAATCATGTCATGTGATTGAGGAAAAAAAATGTAAAAAACAACAACAATGTCACAAGAGACAAATTATGATTCTCAAAACAAACGGTAACCTCGAAAATTGTCATGCTTTATAACATAAAAAATAGACAAGAATACAGAGACGGTGGAAGTTTACCAGACAGTTCCCCATTCTGGCCAGCAGCATGGATCTCGTTCACAAAGTCTGTCAGCTTGCACAGTTCTGAATCTGTGAAAATGTCCTCATATAACTTCAATCCTTTTACTACATTCACCTGCCAATTTCAATCAGCTGCAAATCAGCAAAACCGGCTAGTTCTTGCGGGGTTATGAAAACTCTACCATTCTTCTTAACTAAAAAAGAATGTGCTTTTTTTTTGTGAAATAAAGAACTTGCCATATGTCCCTTCACCGACTCTTTTGCTGTGAAACCTTTGGTCAACTTAAATTGTGAGGAACGTCCTTCACAATCTTCATGATTGGAACATATACTAGCGTTCATAGGACTAGCCTGCATTTCTTGAGATCCTGCTCGTGAAACCAAAAACAAAATTCCATGCAAATTTCAATACTCAGAAAAGGACAAAATTGTTTCCATTCTAAGCATTTATACAGTTGACTACTCTGAATAAATAGGGAGCGTTTTCCCAAATAACTTAAAGAAGAATCAATCTTCGATTTACAGGCTCTGCATATTGTTTTTGTACTTGCCCTTCTACTTTATTGTCCTTTTATTAGTCTGATTTAGTCAACCCTTGTAATTGTAAACAACATTGTGAGTATGTGACCTTACCATTAGACAAAATATTAACTGAAATTTCACAAAGCAACACCTGTCAAGAAACATTTGTCGTCTTCCAACATAATCGCTATTCGTTGGCATCCACCACCAATGTGAGTCCACTACCACATTACATACATAGTGCCAAGAAAAGGCAGGCCGCTGCAAGCATTAATAACATCTCTATTTTTCAAATAAATACAACCCACCAACTCAGCATATTCTCCTTTCTTTAGCTCAAAAAATTGCAGCTGCTTTTTCTTTTTTTCAACAAAACTTTTTATAGGGTGTTTATGAATATCTTTATTTTTTTTTACTGATCTTTCTAATAACGGACATAAATATAATACATGATTTAGAATTATTATTAGACATATACTACCCATGCACTGTTTTCAAACCCATGGCTAGAGCGTGTTTGGTATCATGTATAAATCATGCAACCTAATCATAAATCATTCATCAGAATTGGATCCCTGAGTCAAGAGCAAGCAAGACAAAGTTGACCCGCAACTAGGACAGGTCACAAACTCAAAGGGTGATAGGGATGGACGGGTACCAAGATGCCAAGAACCATATCCCAGACCCGACCCGGACACATAAGAATGACATCCAAGAAACCACCATGGTGGCCCCGCCGCATGTAATAAAAATCATTGCACACACTTCTAGATCTATCCTTCCAACTCTAACCTTAACCCACAGTGTCATTTAATAGAATTTGTCATTCCCACGTTCTATATGGTAACACCCAACATTTTTTTCTCTTGCATCGTAGTTCTCAAAACTATAAACCCCACTTTGAAGTTATGCAAAAATTATCAACCACATGTCCTGCGTGTGTAACTACTCTCCTTTATTTTAATACCATTGTACCTATCTTTTTATAACAAGAAATATATAGTATTATAAAACAAAAATATTAATGTATGGTTTTTCTTACTTCAATATTATGTTAACAGAAATTTAACTGTCATAAAACAAATTCATCTTGCATAGAAGTTACAATTTTCATTATCCGTGGTAAACAAAAATAATGACAATAAGATTTCATTCTTTAAAAAAAAAACACAAAAGTTCCATGCTTTATTCAGTCAAAGAGACCCAAAAACGGTTTAATTTTCACCAATAATTAATAAATGATCCCTAAAACTTTCAAAAAAATTTAATTTAAAATCAGTGATTAGTAAATAATCACCCAGAAGAATCCTTCAATCTCTGCTGCCGACAGATACAGAAATTTTCGTTTTGGTTTTGAATGAAAGAACAGAAATCCGTGAAAATATTGAAAAACATCACCAACTGTATCAAATTAAAGTAAATTTTCATTGAGGAATTAGAAAATAAAAAATAGTTTAATTATTCAATTTATTTACCTGAATCAGTAATCTCGCTCTCGGGGGACTCGTACTCCTCGTGTTCATAAGCAGTACCATTTCCGACGACACTCTCCAGCGACGTCGTTTTTTTGTTGGATTTGCGCTTGTCGTCGGAGTTGACGTCGGTATCGCCGTTGTGGTTTCTTTCGGAGACTCTGCGGAGCTCAAGGGTGACATCGGCGATTGAGTGGTACTTCTGCATCTGGAGGATGGGGATCCAGTTGAGCCTACGGCGGTGGATAGCAGCGAAGAGAGCGTCGTAGTCATGGGCGGAAGCGGCGAGGTGAGCGCAGAGGGCGTCGATGATGGCGTTGGCAGCTGCGAATTCGCCTCGGAACCAGGCTATGATGGCGTCCTTTGCGATGGTGTCTGAGAAGAGCATTGGGGGAGGGACCATGGTGGGTCGATCGGAGGGGGAGGTTGGGCCAGCCGCCATGGAATCGGGTCGCGCAGTTATCGGAGCCAATGGTGTTGTTTGGGGCCCAAATCGAAAGAAAAAAAAGGAAGAAAATGGTTGTGCAAGAAGAAGTTGTGATGAGAGGGGTTTATGAATATGTATGATTATGTGAATGTGAGTGACCTTAAATACTCCTCTTCTTATGTATGCAATGCATGTATGTGTAGTTATGTAATGAATCTCCCAACCCAAGCTCCCACACACAGGTTCTTTCTGCACTTAACGTGGCACCATCTCACCCCATTTCACGTGCCTGCCTAACATAATACAACAAAATTTAATATATTCCTTTTTATATTATTTAAATATTCAATTTAATTACATGTTTAAAAGAATAACACTAATAAATATATTCATCAACAATAATTTTAGATGATTTTAGTTAACTTTACTTTTACTTTCAAGCAAAAGAGCATGCATGTTGTTCATATAAAAGTAATTAAAAGTTTAATTATCAAGTATATTAATGATTCTCTTAACTTTAGAAGCTTAAATATTAGTTAGAAATTAATCAGGATTATCAAATAATATATCTTTATACGAAGTAATAATAACTCAAAATTCATGGCCATATTAAGAACAACAATAATTAATATTATTTTTAAAATTAATTTACTGAATAATCTCACTCATTCAATAGATATATTATTTTTATTGAAATGGAGAAAAAACAAGAAACAAGAAATTTATAATATTACATTGAAAATTGAAAAATATTAAATGAATTAGATTAATTATGTTTAGAGTATACAAATTTTATTTTTATATTTCTGAAGATAAATCATACGCTTTATTTACAATAAATTATGAAGCAAAAAAAATATATGGCAAACCTTAATGTGAATAATTTTAGTTGCAAAATTAAATTTTAAAAGGGGTGTATTTGTTATTTTCTTCTCTATTTGTAACTATTGTCGGAGAAAAGGTGATATTAAATGTAGAGACTCCTTAGGTTTTTAACTTGGGAGATGAGAATAATGTTTGTTTATTTTGTGAGCCAAGATAAAGCTTTTTGTTTGAATGATTGGGATGGCTAAATTTTGAATAACGTATGAACTTTTGGAAATTAATCTATTACTAAAAGCTTCTTTAGTTTTTAGTTTTTTAGGCAAAAGCTTGCACGAAGCATGCTAAAAGGCTAAGAGATAAAAAAACATGCTATAGTTGGTCATGGTCCATGCTCCTTGTATAACAAAAACAAATTGGTTAGTTTTAGTTGGTTTGCACAAACACAACTCCATTACTTCACAAAGCGCCAGACAAATTATTCTATTTCTATCATTAATTCTTGCTTTATGTCATTCTCTGCATAACAAACAGATTGATAAATTTAGGACCTGGAACGACATCGTTTTGCGGTGGCTGATCTCCCTGAATCTCTTCTCTCAACCTAACTAATATTAATTAACTAACTTCTCGTCAAATTTCACTGATCTCAATACTACTATTATTATTATTATTTATTATTATGAAATAAGGTGTGACATTAAATTATTTTATTGAATCGTGATTTGTTACGTCAAGCTGTTATGGCAATGGAAATTTAAAAAAAAAAAAAAAAGTAATTTGGAATAACAATAACGAAAACTTTTTGTTTTAATGGTGTGTTTAGGTAGTTTTGTGACGTAAAGTGTCAAACTCAATCGTCCTTTTCTCTCTCTGTTAAAAGAAAAGGCCTACTCGTATTTTCTTCCTCCTCCTACATGCCATGCATTTTCTCAATTCTCGGATTGGTCTGTATCTAAACCTAGGAGTTCAACTTTCTCTGTCTAATACATTTCTTAGGTCATTTCATTCTTAAATACAATTTATGCTTCTATTTATTTGTATTCAAAATCACATTGATTACTCTCTTTTATCAATTATACTTTTATATATTTTTACTCTTTAAACACTTTTAATTATTATATTCATTAATTCTTGCAAAACAATATTAAAAGACACACAAAAACATAATTGGGTAACCATTTATCATATATATTCATTTTAGTGGAATTCTCACCGATTTTAGTGTGAAAGTGTCTTTTATAAACATTTACTAAGCTTTTACAACATTTCAAAGAATTTTAATTATATATGAAGATAACACAAATTTTGATCTATTAATTCAAGCATACTATATAGCTAATATCCTCTACAAGTCTATTATAAACATGTCAGAAAATATAACTATAATAAAAAGATGTAAAATTTAATGCCTTATACATCTGTCTTATCAAGATAAAATAAAGAATTATAAGTAATAATTAAGGATTAAATTGTAAATAGATTTAAACATAACAGTATGTAAAGAATAAAAACATTTTCTTGGAATTATCTTAAAACATTTACATGGTTGCTTATTTTAAATTTATAGATCTTACAATATATAATAATATAAAATTTAACTTTTATGTATTTTCTTCATTTATAAATTATTTAATTTTTCATTTTTATTCAATGTTGGATTTTTTTCTTACATTTAAATTTAAAAAAAAAATTACTTCAATTCAAATGAAACATTTTAAGGTTATAAGATAATGTTTAAAGTCAAAATATAACTGGAGAAGATCCTAAAATTCGATTGTGTAAAAGAGACTATCAACAATGGCAATCATTAGTCAACCAATTAATGATCCATTACACCATTATAGCTCATTGTGACACCCTATATTTATACCCTTCCAAAGGCTAGTTTAGGTCTCAGAATATTCAAATCTTAGATCTTTCATTAAGGAACATACATAAACATTTGATGAACTAACCATTTTGATTATTCTTTATTTCGTACTTTTAACTGCTTTTATCTAGTATTTGCCAAATCCTTTGTAAAAATGGTTTCATGAAAAATCTCACGCGACAGTGATGATATGGAAAATGGCGACATATGGTTAGTGTCATAATCCCAAACAAAAGACGACAAATATGATGATAGCTTGTAATTTTATGCTTCTCCGCACAGCCATGGCTTCAATCCGAACGCAAAAAATGTGCATGTCCTTCCTAATACTTTGTCAAGACATCATGATTTTCGATTATGATAATTGTCTTTAATTATTTTGTTAGAAATTTATGAATGCAAGTTTCCCAAAACGATATCCACGTTGCATTCTTTCCGTTTCTTGAAAGAAGAAAAATTCCCTCTAGGTTGTAAAAATAAACAAATATTTTTGCACTAGACTGAAGATTAAAAACACGTGCTTTTCACGTATATTAATCAATTTAAAAACAAAAAACAAAAACTTGAAGTTCAATACTCAACTTCACACCAACCTGGTGGCCATTTATAATTATTATTAAACAATAAAATTGATGATGAAAAAGGATGCAAAGAGTTGAGTGATGGCAAAGTTGGCATTTAGCTTATGTGATCAAGTTGGCAGGAGAAAATAGATGACATGGCGGAATAAGTGAAAGGTGTGTCCCCACGTGTGTGGGACCCTTTGGCCATAGAACCATTATTTGGGTCCACCATGAACGAAGAAGGTAGGGTTGGAGGTGGTGGTGAGTGAGGGTAGTGGTGGGCCAGTGAGAGCCTCTATTGTTGGTTGAGGTGAGTGAGTGAGTGTGTGGGGTCACAGGTTGTAGGGCGAACTCACCTTCACTTCACCCATTAATGGTAAATTACTTTTCTATCCTTTTACCCTGATTAAAAGGGGATTCTTTCTTGTAAAGAGATTTGCTGTCTCTTATTCTCTTGGTTAAGTTTTTAGGTCATAAAGTTTGGGAATTTTGGATTTAAGCTTTCTCCAAAAGCAAAGGTTACCCAAATGCTCATGAAACCAAAGGGTTCCAAAACCTTCTCCCCCACTATGCTATTCTTTAATTGACATTTCACAGCAATACGAGTATAGAATTAGAAACGGAACCCACAAGAAGCTTTTCTTTATGGACCATGCTAAAAAGGAAGTTTAATAGAAAAATCAAACAAATATTTGTTCAGGAAAGATGGAAGATTCTTTCCCTTTTATGTAATTAATATGTGATAGTTAAATTGTTTCACAAATGTAATAATCATCATCAATGTTCACTATTGTTGTGACTAGAAAACTAGAAAACTAATAAAAAACCTTTCCTATCCTTTTATTCTCATTATTTTCTCCCTCTTAAAGTTATATTATTCAAATCTTATTTTGAAATTTACGTTATTTAAGAATAAAATTAAACACAATTTTTTTATGATAGAATTGCAATTACAATACATTAGATACACATTGACCTAATATTAACATAAATTTAAAGTCAAATTTTAAATATTTATTATAATAATTATAAAAAGTCAACCAATTTACGAGATTATTTCAATTTATTGATTATAGAGTTGTCTCCCATAAAAATACCTGTAATTAGTAATTAAAAATGTATATTATAAGCAAATATAACGAGGACCACTAACATTTTTAAATTTGGTCACACAAATGCATAATTATTTATTTGACACTCTCTTCAGAAACCACTTCCGTCGGTGCAATGTACATTATTGGGACTTTTACACTTTTAAAACAAAATATATTGACATGGTTTATTTTTTTATGAATTTGATGTCACTTTTAATTTACAATTTGGATAAATTTATCACCAGTCTTTTCAAATGTCTAAACCAAAGTTGACAAGGCATGCCAATAGGCAAAATCGAACATTGCATTGTGAAGAGGTTAAATTGAAAAGAAGGAAATACCCTTTCTTTATTCTCGTGACCATTGCACCAACCAAAAGAGTTCTAGTCGCTGTCAACTTCTACATAATTATATTACATGCAAAACACTTTCACTCAAAATTTTATATACTCCACGTTAATTTTTTAACTCAATTTTGCATCAAACTAAAAGTTATATGTGCTGTCATCTCCATATGTCCTGCAAATATGTTTACCCTCAAAATTATATATATCACATTAATTTTTCATCACACAAGTGCTTTTGAATTGTTACTGTTTATAACTATACATTGGAAAAGTATAAATGTAATCAAGAAGATATTAATATTATTATTATTATACT